CTACATGCCCTGCTCAAGGTCCTGCCACGTGGTTCCCCTGCCACGAGACGACTCTCACCAGATGCAGCCCCTTGACCTTCGGCACCCCAACAGCGAGCTAGGTAGACCTCTGTTAACTCTCGGATGTTTCTGTTATTAGCAACACAACGAACTAACACAGAGGCCTTCATTTGGGACGTGCCTATGCCAGCCTTCCTTTTCTTCCTTTTTGAAACTTCTCCCCTCCTTGGTTTTTTTTTTTTTTTAATACATTCTAAATTTGAGCCCTTTGCCACTTATTTGTACTGCAAACATCTGTACTGTAAGGCTTGCTTTTTTACCCTATTAACACGATAAACCAACCTGTTCCTCTTCTAATGAATAGTAACTGCAGAGGTTTCCTTTTGAATTGCCAGGGGGTGTGTTCACTCAGAGACAGAGACAGAGACAGAGACAGAGATGCGGAGAGAGGGAAAAGGAGAAAGCACACCCTCGCCACCCCTGGCCACCGCGGCGCGGTCATACACCCTCTCTCCCATCTCCTCACCCTGCGAGGGCAGAGACCATGCCTGCGCGTGTGCCCAGCGTGCTTTGCAGACTGCCAGGGCCAGGCCTGGTTGGCAACGTGGTATCGGACTCCCTCAGCTACTCGGCCATGGTTGCCAACTTTAAAAGGGGTCAAATTTATCCATCTTTTTTTCTTCTTCTTCTCTTTTGGATCCATCTTTTTCTTCATGTCAGAGCTTTGTGTGGCTTGGTTAAAATATTACCTTACCTGAAGGACAGGAAGGTGTTTGCCTAGATATCTTGTAAGTGCTGAAAAAATACGTAAGGTTTGTGGGATTATCTCCCTCTTGCTAAATGCCTGACTATTCCAACAATCTGGAACCAAGCTGAGGTTTTCTCAGATCTCGGTTTCTAGACAACTCCTGGGTACACCCATTGCGGAGTCTCGGCCTGGAGCAAGGGGTGCTTCACCAGGATGGCCACCTCTGACAGGCCCTGGACTCTAGCTCCCGCAGCCCTGAAACTGCCAGAAGGGCACCTCCACCTCAGACGCCTCTTCCTGACCGACAAACACCACCTCTCTGACAGCAGCTGTGTGATCTCTCTACGGCAAACGTGCTCTTGGACGCAATGAGGATTCTTGGCTACTCCTCCTGGGGGAAGTACAGGATGCTGTGAGAACCCAGAGCAGAAGGCCCCAGAGGAAGCGAGGGGTGGACAACTGGAAAATGATGAGTCATGGTCAGAAAAATGCCCCGAGATCAGAAATGAAGGATGAGTGGTAGAAGATACCTTGAAAATCAGCAGGGGGAACCAGCAGTTAGCATAATGGCTATGTTGCTGGACTCCCACGTAGTCCACTGTGGTTCGTGTCCCGGACCCGGTGGCTTAAAACTCACACCGGGCGCGTGTGCGTGCGTTCCCAAGATCCCGAGAGGAGAATGGAGGAGAAGGGATTACGGCGTGGCCATCCCCCCCGGGGGGTGATTTCTTGCTTTCTGTCTCTCTGTCTCTCTCTGTCTGTCTGGTGAGTGCACACACCCTATAGCAAAAACCTCTCCAAAAAAAAAAAAAAAGAAAGCCAGCAGGGATGCACCAACGTATTCAGTTATCGGGAAAGTCCTGATGTATTTTCCATGTTTTTCTATGCAAAAATTTGCCATGGCTTCGCCGACAACCCAATGGGATGCTTGAATACAGGTGGCACGGGGACAGGCGAGGACACTGATCACAAACTAAATACAAGTAATACGGTTCTACGGACTATGAAATCAAAATGAACAGAAGTACGCATCATTACCTGCGATCTGCACTGAGCCATCTTCTCCAAGAAGAATGTTTCCAGCTTTCACATCTCTTCAAAACAAAACAAGAGTTACTTATCAAAAACACCTACTCTTTGGAGTAACATTATTTAAGCAAGAGCTTACTGTATTTGCATAACACGAGCAACATGGAGATATTCTAGTCTGTATTAAGGAGTATTAAGGCCAGCAGTAACATTTTTAAAACTTCCGTCACTTGTACTAGACGCTGAACATTCAACAGAACGCTCTCAGAGGTACAGCGTCTTATATCATTCCAGAAAGCCTAAGATGATTAAATGTTCTCGATTGGGATAACAGTGGTCCAAATAGGTGACTTTGTCTTTTCTTAGCCAATCTGACATTTGGAAACACACTCATTTTTTTCCTATACCAACTAAACACTAAAGCTATACTAAACCACTCCCTCCCTGCTGCCCCAGCACCCACTCCCCACCTGCAAACTGATGGAAATGCTTTAACTGGTCAATATGTAGTTGAAAACAAGAACAAGGACTATTCTTTGTCGCATAAAGGTAGGTATCAATTACTTAGACCTCTTGATATTTTTAGTGTTAACTACAATAGCTCAAGTAATACATGAATTTTTTCTTTTTTGCTATAAAAACTTAAACATCACTAAAAAGGCCAAAGTCCCTTTGACTATCATTCTCAAGCATTCTCTCCAAAGTTTTCATCTATTATTAGGCTGCTAAGAGAGTATATATCTATGACATATCTGGGCTTTCTCCCAATTTAAATGTTATTATACTATCCATACAAATCTGTAACTTTTTTGTTTGTTACAACTATGTGTCAGTAGTATCTGGCAAAATCAAAATCTAGGAACCAGTAGTTAGCATAATGGCTATGTCGCTGGACTCCCATATAGTCGACCGCGGTTTGAATCCCGGACCCAGTGGCTTGAAACTCACGCCAGACGTGTGTGCGTGCGTGCCCAAGATCCCAAGAGGATAACTGAGGAGAAGGGACTGCGGTGTGGCCATCCCCCTTGGGGGGTTATTTCTCGCTTTCTGTCTCTCTGTTTCTGTCTGTCTGTCTGGCGAACGCACGTGCCCTATAGCAAAAACCTCTCCAAAAAAAAAAAAAATCTTTAAATCCAGAGCCTGCCCTGCAGTCTATTGGTTAAAAGAGCCAGATCCAACATGGCTGACTACAGTTCGAATCCCAGCCTGGGCACACTGAAACGCACCCTGGGTATGTGTGTGCAGGCCCGAATCTGACGGGAGGGAGCAATGCAGAAGGGACTGAAGTGTGGCATGCCCCACTGACACGTGCTTGCCCCATCTCTCCATGCCTCTCTGGCAAGCACACACACGTCCTGGAAATTTAAAAAAAAAAAAAAAAAATCCTAACTCCTAAGATTGCAAATCCAATTCTTGAGAAACTCTGACAATGTACAAAGGGGTTCCACCAAAGTACTGTTTATAATAAACCAATAAAATGGCAATATCCAAGACAGCGAATGATAGCAGGAATTAAACGATCTTACATCTATGAAACAAGAGTAATGTCAGTGATCGTGCTGTGACATTCAGTGTCTGCTAACACACACTGCCAAATGACAGATCCAACAGGACAGTGCGCTTTAGATGACACCACGGACACCACACACACTCCTTCCCACACACACCACACGGACAGCAGTGAACAACTAGTTTTGTGACGAGTGGGACTGATAGCAAGGGGAATGGCATTTGAACTATCTTATGAAAATGTATTCGTGTAGTCATTTTATAATTTTAAAATATAATAAACAAAAGAAAGGCAGCCTCCGAGGTTAATAAGAAAAAGCGAGGCCCGCTCATGGAAGAAGCCTCGTTTGTCATGAAAAGGAGCCAGTGACAAGCACAGCACTTGGTCCTGCCCTGCCTCTCTGCCTCCATCCTTAGGCTACAGCTCCGCCTTGGCAAACAATGAACAATAGTTTTACAAGGGCGTGCAGCACCAGCGTCATGGCACAGTACCCAGGGCCTTCCCTCGACACAGACTGAAGCACTGAAAACACGAGCTAGCGTGGACTGCTTCTAAACCCGAGCGATGCACAGGTCGTTTTCCCAGAGGCCGGCTTAGTAGAGGCAGCCCTTGACTAAGGGCAT